TCGCTCTCTCCCCTCCTCTTTTTGCAATCACATGGAGCACACTCATCCAGAGAGAGTGAGAGACGGTGGAGGTGAATAATAACCCAGCCATGTTTCCGCAGCAGTAGCCAGGGGAGTAGTGACTACAGTCGAGGGGACTCTAAGCATAGGAGGCACCGTTAGGATGGTGCGTTCTCTCTGGCGTAGCTCTGACAGTCAGCGTCACCCTAGTAACTTTATGCTTGTGCATGCATGTGTGTATCTTGCCTGATTTATAATAATGTTATTATTCCCCCCCCCCGAATTTGATGCATATGCATCAAATTTGATGCATCATATTTGATGCAGATTAAAAATGCCTTCCCGAGTTGGGTCCCTCGCCAAAGATGGGGTAATTTCAGGAGCAATCCAGTCCCCAAATGAAACTTCTGTCTCAGAAAAGTCTTGTGGGATTCCTCCCTCCCTCCTTTGATTTGCCTTTCGCATACTGCCCTTGTTCACCTTGCCTGTGTGTCGCTTTCGTGCGTGCTGGGTGTCTGTTGGGGTTATTGGTGGCTGCATTTTGTTACAACCCAAGCTGATCACCCCACTCTCCAGCAGGGTGGATGTATGGTTAAGTGTCTGGGGTAGTTTTCTTCCCTCTCATCTTGTGTATTGCCTGTTTGTTTTTGTTTTTTCCTTTGTGCAATTAGTATTATTTTTCTTCTCCCATCCCTAATTCGAAGTGCAGGAGCTTTTTGCTTTCCTGTTTACTGTTTGCCTCTTTCTCTCTCTCAGTGTGCCATTCAAGTGAAACTGGAGCTGGGGCACCGAGCCCAGGTTAGGAAGAAACCCACTGTGGAGGGCTTTACCCATGACTGGATGGTGTTTGTTAGAGGACCCGAGCACAGTAACATTCAGCACTTTGTGGAGAAAGTCGTCTTTCACTTGCATGAAAGCTTCCCTAGGCCAAAAAGAGGTAGGGCTCCAATACAAAGGTGTCTTGATAAATATGAATTTAATATGTTTGCTTAAGGGGAGAGAGAAACAATTGCCTTTCAGGTTGGCTCTGCTTGCATGCTCTGAATGCTGGCAAGCAGCAGTGGCTGGGGGCGTCTGTTGCGCAGGCCAACAGCTGGGCTCCTTGCCTTCTGAGAGAAATCCTTGCATGAAAAGGACCATCAGGTGTAGTGATTTTTGTTTGTTTGTTTTGCCTCCCTCATCCTATTTTTTTCCTCAAAATGAATGTTCCTTAATCTTTTTGATGGATCAGGGAGGGAGCGGTTGATGGAAATGTGCAGATTCAGGTGGGGGGAACAAAAACAGTGTTGGTGTGGTTGGTCGACTGTTTTCTTTTTTTCTTGTCTGTCTGTCTCAGGTTTGGCATTGAGGCATTTTTTTGATGAAACGTGATTCATTTCTGCATTTTCTTGTTCTCTTGTAATGACTCCAGTCAATCACTGTCACAATGATCTTTAATCTCAGCTACCTGTGACTGCAGTGTATTGGGTGAAACTTGCATTAGATCTTGGCTCCTACAGCATCCTTGTGGTCTATTTTACTTTTCAGTGATGTTGAAAACCTCTACTGAATCCTCTACCATGCTGGGTAAATCTAAGGTAGAGAAGATATATATTTTGTCTACATGTTGCGTTCTTGCCAGTTCTCCTTTTTTCTGTAGTAATTGATTTTTTTTTTTCTGCATGGATTTATGCTTCTGTTTTGAATCCCTCAACATTTAGTTTTCTGTTTTGCTCTTTAGTTTACATCATTGTTAGGAATTCATTACTTTTATTTCTGAAATATGCTGGGACTTCTTAAAAAAGGTGTATGCGTGCACTCACACACATATGTGTTGGGGGACAGGGGATGCTATTTTAGTTTGACTCTGGGAGATTTAAGGAACCTTTTGTTTTCAGTTCTGATTCCTGAACCCTCAGAGTGCTGTCAGATTGTTTTAGTTGGATTAGTAGAGGTGACAATACAAAAAAAAGAAGATGCTTTGTTTGTGAGCAGCTTTATTTATCTAAGTAGGCACATTTTCCTTAGAAAAACATTATAATAAATCCATTCAGCTTTGAGCTATGTGGGGAAAAAATGAACATTCAGGGTGTGAAAACAGGAAAATTTTCAGTGTTGATGCAGCAAAGCTTTTTTTGTGGCAAGATAAACATGCATGCTTGGGTTTAATGTTTTTCAGTTCAAAGATACCAAGTTATGAAACTTTTTTACATCAATTATTTATTTCTTCTGCAATACTTTGCCTGTATTAACCAATAGTGTATAAGAACTGCAATCATATTTCAATTGTTGAGATCCTCTTCTAGAGTACAAACTACTAGTTCCCTTTTATCATACAACTTAATATATTTTATATCCCTAAGACATCTAGGCATTGCACTAACAGTTTTCAGTGGCTTGTATATATTACTGTAATATTTCTAAAGAATTAAAATGCCCATATTGGACTTGGGAGTCTTTTACTCTTTCCTATTCTCTTCTATTTCTTGTATAGAAAAAGACAACTTTAGGTCAAACTAAATAATGATTTGGCCAAAATCTTGGGAGAAGAGATCTGAATTGCCTGAATAGGTGAGATAGATAGGTTTGTCCACACGCAGTGAAAGGAACGATATATTGTAATCCATGGTAGAAAGTGCATTTTGTATCTTAAAGCTGTGTCTCTGTGTAGTGGTGTCTGTGGCACACACTGCTTTTATTCCCCATCTTTGGGAGGGGGGATGCTTTTTTTATTCTTTCATTTTTTTTCATTTTAATTTCTTTCCAGCCTGAGGGAATGTGACTGCAGCCCAAACTTGGGGATTGTTGCTAGGTGTGGTGTGGAGTTGGTAATAGGAATATATTTTAGGACTTTACAAGTGGAAGGTATATGATTTGCTTCTGGGAGTGTTTTGTTTTGTGTGTGCCAGGCTGCTGAGTTTCATTATGCAGTCATTTAAGCCATTCTTTTAAAATGTTTATTTTGGGATTTTATTTGTGTTTGTCTTTTCTGTGATGTGACAACTGCTAGGAAAGATGACAGCTTATATAGCCCTAGAGGGGACTTATCATATTGTAATTATACCTGACTCGTATTGTAAAATAATGTTCTCTGTTCAATGGGAATGGTGAACATTCCATTCACTTCCAGGGTTTGCTTCAGCTTCTTAAAACTACAGCAATGAGTAAAGAATAGTTGCATCAGAAATGTTCTCCTCATCTCAGACTTCTGGAATCACAGTGCAGAAGATGAGTATTGTGTTGTTGTTTTAAGTTTGAACTATTCAGCATTTCTTCTTCTGTTTTAAAAGTCTTTAAAGAGTCTGTTCTGATAATGATGACTTACTGTCTCTTGTGGCTTGGTGGATGAGAATGTTTTGTTTATCTAACTTATTTTTTCTAAAAAAAAAATTAACTCTTTATAATTTGTTTTCGTTCCTTTGTAAATGAATGCTGACAGTTTGATTTGATCTTCGGATATCTCAGTGAAGGTCATCCAAGTATTGCATGTTAAATAGAAATTATGTGCTTGCCTCATGTTGTCACTTAGAGCACCTGTTCTCTATCATGGTCTTTCAAGTTGCTATATACTTTAGTATTTTGGTATAAGGTAACTTATCACCTGGAGATACTTGATAGGTTGTCAGACTAATCCTGACTCCTGACTTTAATGGGGGAAGTTGATGTGCAATATAAATCAAAGCAAAGTATCACTACATCCATTATAACACTTTTCCTTATCTTTCTGATAAGTGATCTTGGTATATTTGTTTCTCTGGACTCATTTTTAAAGATTACTTTAACATATATGCTTGTAGTTGCTATGAAAAGCTCTAACTCATTAAGAATATTTGTAGAGTTCTCAGATCAATATGAGACTAATAAATGAATAGGCTATCTTTGGTTTCATTAGCTCATGATGTATTTCTGCTACTAGTTCACTTTTTATTATGAGCACAGTCATTTTGAACATTAAGGAGGGGTAAATATGCTTATTTTGTAAAACTTTCAGTGCAGTGGTTTGGCATGTTTATCAGAATAATTAGATAAAATATCAATATGCTGGGTACAGCTATGGTTTTGCATCTCTTCTGGTACTCTGACCTCACTAGGGATGTTAGAACTACTAGAGGTTGGTGGGCTTGCAACCAAAGGTGTGTCCAGCTATTTATCCCATCAAAAGGAGCTACATAGCAAAGAAGGATCTGTGTATCCCTAAGCCACATCAGCTTTGAGGTAGAGCTGTAGCTAGAAACAGTCCTCAATTCTTGGAGTGCAGAATGGATTGATTTGTTTGTATAAATAGGATGGGAAGATGATGGTGACTAACAAGGAAGAGAATGTATTCAAGCTAGAGTGTTTCTATGAAACGGTCTCTGTGTTTAGCCAAGAGTACATTCTCAGCAGTTCCCGCAATCTGTAGAAGCATACTTGTCTCTCAGCACGTCTCACCTTAAAAACTCTGGCTTGGCAGTAGTTTTCTTTCCTCTATTGTTTGCCTCCAGTCACGTTCTAGGAGTCCTGTGAGGAAGAAGGAAATGCTAAAATTTGCAGTCCTTCTTTTCAATGATTTATTTTATATATGAACTTTGTCTCAAAGATCATGGCATTTGGGCCATGGAAAGATAATGCTAGAAAAGGGAGCTAATTTAGCTCTAGCCCAGCTTAGCACTAGTGCCTAAAGTAGATGAAGCCTGCAGGCCACAGGACTGAATTGTAAATGAGCTTGAGAAACATTGCTGAGGATGCGACTGCAAACCCAGCTAGAACCAGCCCTCAAAGATACAGCACACAATGGACAGAGGTAACTGTTAACCTTCGGATAAGATAAGGCACTATGAAGCAAGAACATAGCAACCGTCTTGGGATGTAGACGTGAACCAATCAAAAGGAAAGAGACCACTGACTCAGTAAAGAAGATTGGAAGAGACTGTCACTGGCAGGCAGGGAAATTTGACTGTAAGGAGTATAATTACCCCAGAATTTCTTTATTCGGGGTCCCTCCCTGGAGGCACCAAGCTCGAGCTGTTACTTTATTTATTTCAATGACGGTACAGCAAATTCACTGTTAGACGTACGTGAGACTCTGCTCCTAGGAAACCTAGGGTCGAACTATTTCCATAACAGTTTGGCACCCCAGGTGGGACCCTAGGCAACCACCGTCGGACCCTCTCATCTCCAAATGTCCAACTGCCGGCAACGGGTGAGTTCACCTGGGAACCTTTGGAGCGAGAGGAGCCGACAGGTGAGTGTTAAACTTCCTTGAGTAGATTCTATAAAATAGGTTCGAGTCCGGACATCAGGGTGGGTCCGAGTCCCTCCCTTGTTGTGACCGCGTGGCAGAGTGCGCAGTCTGAGGAGCGTAAGGTGCACAGGTGCGCAGCCTGAAGAGTCAAGTTGGCGCAGAGTCAAGTTGGAGGCCTGTGGCTAGTGGTGTCCCCCAGGGGTCAGTCCTGGGTCCAGTCTTGTTCAACATATTCATCAATGACCTGGAGGAAGGGACAGAGTGCACCCTCAGCAAGTTTGCTGATGATACTAAACTGGGGGGAGAGGCTAACACACCAGAGGGCTGTGCTGCCATTCAGAGGGACCTGGACAGGCTGGAGAGGACAAGTTAAACATGAGCCAGCAGTGTGCCCTTGTGGCCAAGAAGGCCAATGGTCTCCTGGGGTGCATTAGGCAGAGTGTTGCCAGCAGGTCGAGGGAGGTGATCCTGCCCCTCTACTCAGCCCTGGTGAGGCCTCACCTGGAGTCCTGTCTCCAGTGCTGGGCTCCCCAGGACAAGAGAGACATGGCACTCCTGGAGAGAGTCCAGCGGAGGGCTAC